ATATTATATGGGCCATGGAAACAATTAGTCATAATAGCTTTTATTTAATTTATATTTTTATAAGACTTTTGTATGGACATAGGTCACAAAATTGAAATTTAATCAAAACGTTGTAGGGTCTTTACTTGAGTAAAATTATTACTGACTATGAAGCTAAAGAAAGATCGCTACATTAATACAATGTAAACAAATTACACTTACGTCATAACAACCTGAAAAGGTTACCCAGAGGTCTATTTGCCTATAATTCGTCATAATGATGGATTTCCCTGATATTTTGTTTGTTACGCAGACGATATTTGTTTCCTTATGTAAGTAATAGTAATAAATAGAATAGAAAATATAGCTTAAGGCCATTCTATTAGAGAAGTAGATACCTAGAAACTTTAATAATTAAGTAAGTAAAAGATGATATACCTACACTAATATTATAAAGAGGTATTGTTTGTAAGTTTGTTTGTAATGAATAAACTAAAAATCCCCTAAACCGATTTAGATGTGGTATGAAGTTAGTATAGTATTTATTCCGAAAATCATCTCTAAGGGGGTGAAAAGAGTGATGAAAGTTTGTATGAGGAATGAATCATTTCTCAAGTAATGGATATAAAACTCATTATACCTACCTGTAATATATATCATCCTAATATATAGTCTATCTATTTCATACTAACAGTTATAACGTACCTAGGGACGAACCCGAGCGAAACGAGGGTGAGTCGCTGTATAAGTAGAAAGTTAAATTTAAACTGTTTCTATATGTTTATCTAACGATTTGGAAGTTTACAAGTGTGAGTCATCGGGTGATATACAACCATAATGTACCATTGAGCTGTTCTGATGATGAAGGGAGTCTCTTCGAAGCGGGGAAGATTCATCGAATTTGGGCTATTTTTTGTTTCAAGGAACTCAATACGTAAATCACTGTTTGTGCATTTGCTTATATGTAAATAGCATACAAAATGCGCAAAAATTAAAAAAAAAATGTTCACGAATTGGGTAGGTACCTACTATCTACTCCTTTTTTAAGTCGATTAAAATGATAGCATGTTATAATCAGTCGACACAACAATCCTACGAGCCTTTATTTCAGACAGTGGTAATTATTAGTGGTGGATGACTTTATAGTGATATGAAAATACGAACAATAATGCAGAAAATAACTATGTACTCGTATATATTATACTAGCACTGCCCGCGACTCCGCCCGCGTTAAGATGACCAAAAGCTAAATTCTTAGGGTATACAGACAGTACAGTTAGAATTTTATTATATGTATAGATTTTTAGTGTAACAATGACCATTTTAGTATTTACAAGCGTTCGCGTTGCTGGCGGCTTCTTTGCCCGCGTAGTTTGTATTATTTCTGTCCTACTACTCTGCTCCTAAATGTAGTAGTTTGACGAAAAAAGGCTTTCTTCCCCAGTAAAAATGTAAAAAAAATGAATATATTTTTGTATACTGTTCCAGAGGTTAGCGCGTTCAAACAAACATACGTTTCAGTTTTATATATAAAGATATAGATTAGTATGAATTACATAATGTGTCGTTGTAGATATAAGAAATTCGAAGAAATGATAACGGTCTCCAAATGGAACACTTGCAAATTGATAACAGGTCTTCGTTCTAAATTTAGAGAGGATAGGTAAAGTGGGTTATTAGGGTTATTGTAAGGAAATAGATATATCTATACAGATAAATAAAATTAAAGTGTCTGTTTGAATGTCAAAATAACAGCTTTATACTAAATGAATATTATGAAACTATAAATAGTACTTATCAGCTCTATATCTGTAAATAATAAAATTCTGAGTCGAATCTGTACATTAAATATTTTTTGGAAAATCTTATTGAAGTCAATATTATCGATACAAAGGCCGAATATAATATAGTTTTTAGAATTTTTGTTTGTTTGTCTGTCTGCCTGTGAACGCATCACGAAAAAACCACTGGACAGATTTTGATGAAATTTGGTATGATGATAGCTGGTTATCTGGATCAACATATAGGATACTTTTTACTGCGGGAAAATATCTCATCTCTGAGAAATCTATAGCTAACCGTTAAAGCGTACGTAGGGATAAACCCGAGTGGAGCAAAGGGGAGTCGCTAGTTGTAAATAAAACAATTGTTTGTATGTATTTAAAGCGAACTATGCACACTTTTAACAGAATTTGATATTATGTCGATTGCGTTCAGACTTTCGCATATTCTCAAGGTGTTCTGCCTATTCCTTTAGGTTTATGACTGCTGATGTTTCTATTCATGAAATTATATTATTATCATTCAATGAGTAATCACTTATTTTTGATACTAAGTACTATGTATCTTACGTATAAATATTCATACAAAATATTTTTCATAATCATGGTGTATAATGGTGTGCATGGCATACACCATGTATTAACAACGACTTCATAGCCTTAATAAGCATTAAGGATAAAATATGAGATTCAGGGTTCGAATCTAAATAAAAGTTACCGATTTTCTTTTCAGAAATTCTAAGAAATAATCCAGAATTGAAAACCAACGCCAGATCTCTCCGAGTGTCTTATTGATTCCCATTTACTTACGTTGGGAAATGCATTTATGCATACCACCTACATACATGCAATTACTTATGTTGAAGTCACCTACTCGAGAAGCCAGTAAGTACTACTCACTAAAACCTAAAGAAACCTCCATCTTCATGGAGCGTTGCAGGATTGCTTACGCACTCATCTAAGGTAGCAAGATTTTTTTGTATTATTCCCTTTATCTTAATTAAACTTAAATCGACCAGTTCACTGTTTTTTTATTTAAAAATATATTCAATGTATCGGAGCAGAATAATTGAAGAACACACGACGAATTACTTAGTAAGTGCCAGCTAGAAGCTGTGAGATCAAGGACTGATAGTTTATAGTTCATTCATGATGTCATTTTAAGAAACGTGCATGACTTCAAATTGTTAATGGTTTTGAATACATTCCAATTGGTAAAGATTATTATTACAGACTACCAACTTACCCTCGCGTTACGTTTTAACGAATTATGGAATAGATAGACTATATATTTTATAAATATGTACATAGGTATGATGAGTTGTTGTGGGTTGTATAACACGTGTTTTCCCGTGGAAATGAATTAATATTCCGAGGTAAAAAGTAGCATATGTCACTCTCCAGCTCTCCAACTATGTTTTGATGTGAAAGAAGGACAAACAAAGTAAAATCAAACTGGATATCGTAGAAAAAGAAAGTGTCAAGTCTACAAATGTATGATACATTAACAAAAAAATAAAAACCGACTTCAAACAAAAGCACTAAAAAGTAAAAAATAACTGATTGGTAGTTTTCATTTACTATACATACCTAATCAAATATTTTCGAAGTCGGTGTGCTTTGCTTTGTATGGGCTGGCACCGATTTCGAAAATATTTGATTAGGTATGTATTTAATAGGTAGACTTTAATTACTTAGCCTTAGATTTTTTTTATCTTTTAAACATATTTATTTCTTTAGTACCTATATTATAAGTGCGAAGTCGAGTTTTGAAGAGAAATGCTTGTTACTGTAAGCCAAGGCGGTTAGCCAAGTAAGCCAAGACGTTATCTATTTATTTGGTATAGTTGTTTAAGTATAGATGGAATTCAATACTCTTCTGACGCAGTGTACGTGTGGAGTGGAGTGCCTGAGCGAAACGACCTATTATGTAATCACGGGTTAGATTCCTGCGTAGGACTTTGGTACAGAATATATAAATAATTGGTAAATACGACTAATAAATATTTTTTTACAAAAAAAATTCCAAGCCACTGTTATTTAAATAATAATAAGACAACTGAATTTAAAATAACTTGCTGATTATATACAGTAGATACTTATAGGGGAACTACAATTGTGCTTAGTATACGTTTTTATTTCATAATATTTATAGTTTTATGAATTGGAAATTATAAACGGACAAAAAAAACTAAATAAAAATTCAGGTATGTACCTATCTAATATGTATCTGTTTATTAAGCGCCATCTATTAGTCAAACACAATGTAATTTGTTTGAATAATTGCTATCAATTAATTTAAGGCGATTCCATCCATCGTAGTTTCATTTGAAACAATCAATGTAACTAAAACGTAATATTATGAAAAAATATTAATTAAATAAAGGCAATCAAGTTAACATGAAAAGTATTAAGATTTCTTGTATTGATTTCATATTCCCGTAATAATATAATATATACTAATATTATAATGAGGTAAAGTTTGTTAGTTTGTGACGTTGTAGGGGATAATCTCTGGATCTACTAAACGGATTTAGATGAAATTAAGTAAGAAAATAGTTTGAGACCCTGGGAAGGACATAGGATCCTTTTATCCCGGAAATCATCACTTAAGGGGGTGAAAATGGGGATGAAAGTTTGTCAACCTAGGGACGAACCCGAGCGAAGCGAGGGTGAGTCGATAGTAATGCTTTATATTCTAAAGTTTGTGTGAATGGATGTTTGTTACTCAATCACGCCAGAACGGCTGAACGGATCTGGATGAAATTTCGTATAGAAATAGATTACATTCTGGACTAGCGCATAGGTTACTTATTATCCCTAAAAATGTACGGTTCCCGTGGGATAGATTTATTTTTGTTTTGACAGAGCATGAGATGGACTATCTATTCCATACTTACCGTCAAAACGTTCTAGACACGAATCCGAACGAAGCGAGGGTGAGTCGCTAGTTCATTATAAATGAAAGGAACTGAATTGATCTTAGCTAAATGTTTCATCTTACGTAATTTGTAAGGCAAAATTAAATTTCTCGTATAAAATGTTACTATAGAAGCAAAAAGGCAATGAAAAAATTAATATTATTTAAAAAATTTATTAAAAAAATACATTAAGTACCTACTGGCCGTTACTTATCAAAGGTATATATTAATCCTATGTACAATTATAATTAAAACGATTAATCCATACATTTGATTAAGCACTGAGTATTATATTATTCAGGTAAATTTTCATATCTTAGTAACCAGCGTCAGCGTCATAGCTGCTCTTCTGTTTGCTGTACTGACCTAAAAAAATATACATTAATATTATTATTATTAGTTTTTATTATTATTTATTAATTAATATATAATAAGTTAAAGTAGTAACGGGATAGAATTTTTATATTGAATTATTTTATTTAAAACGTAATGGGGATGATATGGATTGGGTAGAGGATAAAAAGAAAGTCTGTTGATAAAAAGTTCTTTCTGGTAAACTTAAATTTTAAGTAAAGTAAAATTTTATTAAAGATAGATCATCTTACCGTCACCACCCGCAGTTAACTGTAAACTTTTCAGAATAGCTTCAGGGATTGGGGGTGGGGTAGGGAGGTGGTCACCGACGGGGTGGTAGCCGTTCTCGTCAGCAGTGTAGCTGATGGAGTATGTCTGACCATCATCACTGATATATGAGTAAGAGCCTGACACTTGGAGAGAACCTTCTTCTGGTGCGGCACCGGGAAGTACGCGACCTGTAATGAGGTATTGAAATTAGAACCAAATTCATTTATATTTTCATCCTTTATAACTTATTTGTCCGATCGATCTAAGATTGCCGACCAATTTACTTCATTTACCAAAAGTGTTTTTAACACAGAAATATTACTTTTTAAATGTCAATTCTAAATATTAAATAAAAATAAATAAATAAACAATTAAATATATATATATATATATATATATATATATATATATATATATATATATATATATATATATATATATATACACATGTAAACTTTAGGAATAAAGCTTTTAAAAAAGAAGAAAGAAACTCTCTACTGTAGAGTATAAAAAGTATTGATCGTTTGAACAAATAAGTGAACCCGAGTGAAGCGAGGGTAAGTGATTAGTAGTGTTATAAAATCAAGGGTCAGAATAAGATCTAAAGGTTTGCTGACATTCTTACATGACAATATGGTAAGCCAGTTATCTAAGGATAGGTTCAAATCCGTTGACCCTAAAAATTACAATGACGTCGTGACAGCTATACATTTTATATATACTGTATCGCTTGCATATTTTCGTTGACTTACGATAATACGAGTACCACAACAACTTATCTATCTAAGCTTCCTCTTACTAGAGATAAGAATTTGACATAATTTGTATGGAGGTTACGTCATAAGTCTATACTTAGTAAGGGAAATTATGAGATAAATGGGATTCAAAGTTAAAGAATAAATGTAACTGAAAATGAATTGAATTGAATTTCAGTAACACTAACTGAGTTACCATCTTTTGCGATTTCATCCAAATTGTACTTTATTGTATAAAATACATTTTATTTAATTTTATGTTTATTTTATTTGTACATTAGTAAAAATTATGTGCTTCAAAACTGCCTGCACATCACTACTATTAAAATGCCACAACTCAAATACGAAGTTTGATGCTGAATCTGCTGTATGGATTTGGATGAAATTTAGCAAACAGATAGATTATGACTTGAAGGATAGACTGCAGTTAGTAATGAAATTTGCCTGAAGTTGATGCTACGTATATATAATATTTAAAATACAAAAGAGACTCGCTTGAGGAAAGTGAGGGTAAGTCATTAGCTATACTTAAATTATGCTTTTACTCCAGGCATCCCTTTTATTATTCAGAAACTGCGCTATTATAATAACATAACATTTACGTAACAATTGGATGGCAGGACAGACGGACCTACAATGCGAAAGTATATAAAGGTAGAATACTAACATATAAATACGATTTAAAAATTTGTATGTACCAATAGTTAATAAAAAAATAAATAAATTGCATTCATTACTCAAAACAAACAACAATATTATTTTTAAACTATATTTGTACAATGTTTAAGCAATGGTCAGTTAAGAGGTCAAGATTCTTCCAAGTTGATGATATTATTAGTTACATGTGATGTATTAAATTGGGCTGTAGGTGAATATTGTGGATCATTCGTCATAATCAAGCTCTGTAAGACGTAAGTGGGTTATTTTAGCTTAATTGCTTTATTTTTGTATGAATCTAAGAAATTATGAGTGTTGAATGCAGGCTTTGTCTATCAATGGTCTTAGGTTCGAGTTCCGGGACAGCTGTTTATTTATGCTTATAAATAGGGCGGCAGAGTATTAGTAAGTAAGCAAAACTCGAGATGAAATATGAAAAATTAGAAAAGTGGAATGAAGTGATAAGCAAGTGACAGTTTAATTTTCCTATCACAAAAACTTAGCTCGTAACGATAAATTAGTTTAGAACGGCTAGAATTAAACTCGTGAACTAAAATAAAACACGCCACTATTTTAGACCAATAACATAGGTTACCTATTATTCTTTAAACTTTATGGTCAATGACAATGTCTTTATGATGTAAAACGGATTTTTACCATGTTTTATTAATTTACTCTTTTGACTTTTTATTCTCTCTCTTTCTCTCTCTATCTCACTCTCTTTCTCATTTTATAATCATTAACTTATGTATATAACTTTCCGATAGATGACATGTTTGGCTCAGTTTGTAGTGATCCTACTTACTGTGCCAGCGGTCGCGGGTTCGAGTCTCGCTGGGGGCATTCATTCGTGTGATGAGCACGAACATTTTTACTCCATTCATGGATGTGTATTTTTATAATATGTATGTATTTAATATAATATATGTATAGTAAAACAATTATCTAGTATCCATAACACAAGCCTCGGTCGGAGCTTACCATGGAACTAGACAGTGCTGTGTTAATGTCCCAATATATTTATTTATTTATATTCCGGCACTGAAACAAGCTCCATGGTCATGGGCACCGTCTTATATTATTATAATATGATAGTTATTGTCCACTTAACGTCACGTAAGCTTTTAAATGTTAAAACTCTTACGAGGTTACATATGGTTAGATACTGAACGTGATCGACATGAAGTAGGCAAAAACAATATTACATAATATACGACTAATAAGTACGTTGTGAAATATTGTTAGATAGCAATAAAAAACTAAATGAACTGTGTAAATTGATAATTTCTAAATAGTTTCTAAGGCGGCTTACGTTGTTTTTTTGCCTAAATGTTTTTGGTAGTTATATTTATTAGTCGATTAGGCAAATTAATTCAAGAGGAAAATATGCGTATGATATCATTCAATAAAAATTGATATTTTTTGACAGAAAATCTTTATAATTATTTTAGTTTAATCTGAGATTTGAATTCAGAAGGCCTATTTTATAGCCATAACTTTAACTACTGACTCACTTTAGGCTTTTTATTTAGTTACTATTAGAAGTGTTATTCCAGGTCCAGGTCTATCTGTGAACTAAATTTTATCAAAATCTTAATCTGAACCCGAAAAAAATGTTTGTTACTTAAGTAACATATAATGGCATAATTAAATAAATATTTAAATAAATATGTTGGGACATTAACACATAACACTAGTTCCATGGTAACTACTTACACATATATAACTTTAAATATATAAATATTATAAATATAAACACCCATGACTGGAGTAAAAACATTCGTGCTCATCAGACAAATGAATGCCCCCAGCGGGGCTCAAACGCGCGACCGCTGACACAGCAAGTAGGGTCTACAAACTGATCAAAATGTATCGTCAATAATTGAAAAATATGTTTGAGATTTATGACCTACAATTAAACATACATAGGACACGTGAATTCGTTATATAAGTATTTACATGTACAGTATGAATATCTTTTGTTAGATAAATTGTCCTTTTATAATATTATACTGTTTTTTTACACTGACAAATAGTCCAGTGAAGCCAAATTAGATTACTAGTAAAAAAAACTCACCGTTTTGTTCAGCTTTAGTTCCATCACTAGTTTCATATGCATAATGCCAGCCGTCACTATCGATCTCGTTCTCGTACCTCAGGATGTCGGCCTGGCTACTGGCTGATGATGCAGAGTCTACAAAGGGTGTCTTCAGACCTACATCCACTCCACTCGATGCACCAGAGTTAGGTGGAAGGTATACGTTTTCTAGGCGAGCTGCAGTGGCCCATGATGCTAGGGTTAGAACGATGAACTGAAAAGATGAAATAAAATTTATTTCAGGGCTCATATAAAAATTAGTTTCATATGTATTTTTTTCTCTTAATATATGTAATGCGCAGAATTCTTAAATAATGTATAAATACTTATGTATATAACTAATATAAATAAAACTTTATAGTTGATGGCTTCATTGTCTTAAAACTTTGAAGTTTTGATAGCATGAAAGGTCTTTTATATATAGTCATTCCGTAAAATTGTACGTGAAACAATTTGTTTTCATATCAAATCATTTAAGAAAATAGTTTTACAGCAGCCAGATCGTAAGTTATATTATTTTAATTGTCCTTAAATTAATTTACTATTTAATGAAACATTGATCAAAAGCGAGAAAGGATATATTTAGAACACAAAAGCCAAACAGCCTTGACACAAAATCCTAGTTAAACTCAAAACGAGCCATACACAAACAGAAATTGCCCATTTCCAAATAAAAATTGCACAAACACTTATCACTTAACTGATAACTTTAACTATAGAAAGTAATAAGAGTACTAACGTATTTCATGGTGATGCGTCGAGTTAGGAAGATGATAGGTAACTGTGAAGATGTGATGCATCAGCTTTCAATTTATACCAAGCTTTCCATCCCTTCACGGTGTCAAATTATTTGTAGTTCAGTCGATATTTTTTTCTATTTCAAACGTTTTAATTGCCGCATTCATGTTTCGACATTGAAGGATTGAAGGAGATTTGTATTATTTTGTGTTTATTCGAGTGTTTTACTAAAATTTGTTTAGCAACTAAGTTTTATGTTATCTTGCTGCATCATTTTTAGTGACCGTATTTAAAAGGTCTACGATCCCTTCAGTATTGAATTTGTTTTTGTTTATTTGAAACAGTTAGAATTTAAAATAATTATAAATTAAAAATTTTAAAAAACCCCCGTACGCAAATTAATTGTCATTTAACGATTACACTATACACGGTACTAATCAAACATAGCTAAGAACCACCGCAAGGAAACTAGCTTTTCAAAGGAAAAAAACCGCATCGGAATCGGTCCATCCGTTTGAGAGCTACGATGCTGCAGACAGATACACACAGACATACATCGACGTCAAACTTATAAAACACTTCTTTTTGCATCGGGGGTTAAAAATAGAGTTTATTAAAGAAAATGTGAAATTATAAGCTTTAAAAAAGGGTATAATCCATACTAAGCTTTTCGTTGTAAAATAATATGTTAAAATAATTGAATATTTATAAAATATAATATAAATAATTGCGTTTAACTATCTAAAAATAGTTTTTAGATAGTTCTCGTGTTGAATTTGTTAATGGTCTAAGTAAATAAATCATGTGACATTTATGAAAAAGAGGCTGCCTAAAAAACTTGAGCAACTGTAAAATATTTTGAAACAGTTTGTTTGTTTGTACGTTATACTTTCTTAGATTTACGCGAATATTTGACATTTTAAATAAAACTATCTTTTCGGATTATTTCGCGGATTTATTTTGATTTTTTGGTTCCCGACGTTTCGAATGCTTTACAGCATCCATGGTCACGGGAGAGACTGAGGTGTTACATGTCTTGAAGGTATAGTTGTTACAGACAGCCTGCCCACAATTAACAAAATGTGATAATGAAGCAAAAATTAAAATAAATCCGCGAAATAATCCGAAAAGATAGTTTTATTTAAAATGTTTGTACTTTTTTAGTTTCATTCCTTTTGTAGTTCAAATGGCATTACAATTAATTATTGAGTTCTTATTCTATTAAAGTTATCGTAATTTAAAATAAACATTTAAATATATTTTAACATTTTTTTTAGTTTGTAGTTTTTTATGCTCTTTTCTTATCGCAGTAAAGAAAATAATTAATGAATGGGATTGTTTGTTTGATTTTTTTTTATTTTAATGGGTCGAAGAGTAATTTAGGTTGCATCATATTTCGTTATGCGCATGTTAAAGTTTCTTTACTAAAGTTAAAGTCTTTTATATGAAGAGTGCTTTTTATAGATTTTTGCACTTATGATATATTTAAGCGAAAAAGCTATTTGAAAAAATACAAAAGAATTTCGTATGTAATACTATTTTTTTTAATATTTTCAATTCAATTTTCTTGTTAAGGGCTTCAAAGCTTTGTATATTTTAGTACATAAGCGAATGAAATATAATTTGTGAATTTAACTAACTTACTAACTATACTTAGGTAAATTAATATGAATCTGATTTGTGATTTAAACCCGATATGGTAAAAATCTTAAAAAAATGATAATACCAGAAAAAAATATCGATTATTAGCAGAAAGCATAGAGTGCAGCAAAATTGGCAACTTATTTCTGTGTAACATCACATAGATTAATAATTGTATAACATCCTACCAAAATAGTGAAACTGAAGGCAAATAAATATAAATTGATGACTCATGCACATTAAAATCGTGAATGCTACCAGTCGAAGCCTAGAATTGATAAAGTCGTGTATTTCATAATTGCACAGTTAGTCAAAATAGAACAAATCGTAGAGTAATTGATGACTTTGAGTCTTTAAAACTAACTTGTGACCCATTCTCGATTCGCTTAGGTGTAATGTCAACACATTTCTATAGAATGCTTTTTTAAATTCCCACTGATGGGCACGTGCCTCCCTTTAATATAAGGGACCAGGCTATAGTTCTCCACGCTAGCCAAGTGCAGGTTGGCAGACTTCACATGCCTTTCGAAAACTTGCTAAGTTCTCTCAAACATGCAGGATTCCCCACAATGTTTTCCTTCATCTTGAGCCAGATGGCAGGTTGAAAATTATTCACACATGAAAGTGTCAGAGATGCGAGACCCGGAATTTGGAACCGTTAATGGTTTTCCAACCAAGCGCGTTACTACTGGGCTACCACTGTCTTACAAGTTTTTTATCATTTACCACTGACTTATAAGACTTTATAGGACCTATCTATTCTTCTATAACAAGTTATTTCTTTTGAAAATTCGGTGAGTTAGGTGACAAAAAATATCTATAGTGTAAATACGTGACTTAATTTTGACGTCATGAAGATCTTAAGTCACTTTATGATATCATTTTGACATATCAACCTACTTCGTTGGTCTAGTGGCGTGCCGTTGTAGATCTGCAGGTACTGGGTTCGAGATCCAGCCAAGTATATTTATAGCGTTTATCTTAATTTGACGGTATTTTTTTGTGAATTTGAGAGTGAAAGGAACAAAATGGTGCACACAAGTGCGCTATAATATCTCTTGTGCACATGCTTTGTCTCAGAGAGATTGGCTGCATTACCGAAATAGGTCAACTTTATTTATTTATGACTTATCAATAAATCAAACAGAATTTATGGAGAATTAGAAATATATTTAAAATTTAAAGATGTGTAAGTTAAAAGATAATATATAAAATAAGTTTGACTCAATTTGTAGGGACCCTAATTGCTGTGCCAGCGATCGCGGGTTCGAGACCCGCTAAGGACATTCATTTGTGTGATGAGGTTTGTTCTCTAGTAATGGGTGTTTATATTTATAATAATAATGTATGTATTTAAAGTTATTTATGTGTAGTGCATCAACTATCTGGTATTCATAGCATATAGTACCTTACCATGGAACTAGATGGTGTTGTGTGTTAATGTCCCAGAATATTTATATTTATTTATAAAAATTAGGGCCAACGTTGAGCCTCACTCAAAGCTTGCAGAAAAATTTATAACTAAAACAAAAAAAAACTGTGTCTTCACAACTCAATCAATTTTATGAAAAGAGAGCGTATTGTTCAACACAAAATATGTAATAAAAAGCTTAAAAACTTTAATTTATTAACTTTTTTTTTTCGTCCATAGTATAAGGTAGTAGATGTAGAACGAAAGAATGAAACAATTTTTATAGATTGATTTTACAAGTTTTTATTTTTTATTATAATTTTGAGAGTATAAAGGGTTGCCTTATAAGTTATATAATATACATAAGCTTAAGTAATTATTATTTTATAGTAATTTTAGCGTCCTTAAATTCGTATTTGATATTTTTTCATTAATGTCACACTCAGAAGTGTCTATTTTTTTATTAGATCTACCGGTTTCAATTTGATATTTTTTAACTTTCTTTAATAAAATGGGAAGTTCATGAATGAGTTTTCAGCTAACTTATTATTAATGCATTCGAATATTCTTATCTCCTTGGCTCTTAAAAAATAAATTTATTATATTTTGGGTATGTGTGTATGTTTTTGACCAGCAATAACTTCGCCAATGTGAAGCTAGTCAAATATTTTTGTGATTCATTTTTCATTTAAAAGTTATTTTTTAATGGCGTATGGCGTAAATTACACGATTTGTTAGGCTATTTATACCTGCTAATCTCTGAAGACCAACTAACCCCCCTAAAAACGGCTAAAAGTCCGGTGATAAGGCGCAGAGTAACTACCCGATATACAACTTCCCGATTTCCAAGCGGCTACTGACTAATTTGTGACTCAGTAATTATTTTGATAAATATTTGAATAAATAAGAAGTGCAAATAAGCAAAATTTATTTTTTTCAAATATTTAGAATGTAATATATGAGACAAACCAAGTGCTTTTTTCTTCGGATCTTATGTCTTGGACATATTCGCAGAACACTCTATACATATTATGTTTTCAGTTTAATACTCATATGTATAAAGCCCAAATGAAAAAGCTAAGAAGTATTTTAAAATCGATTAGATCGAAAAAAATGTTCATTCTATGCTGTATTATATAAAGAGAATTCGTCTTAATTGGTTGCGTATGAAAAAGCGATTAAGTAAATTATAATCGAGGCACGGGGGTAAAACTCCGACAACTTTCCAATTCTGGGCTGTTACTGAGAATATCTTAACAAAAAATCTCAGTATTTAAACTTGATCCGACCCGAACTCGAACCCAAGAATTCTTGATCTGTAGCCGTACATGCTATACAAACCGTTAAAGCGTACCTAGGGACAAACTCTGAGTCGCTAGTTTGTTGTTGTTGTTTGTTGTTTGTGTTGGTTGTTGTTGGTTTTTGTTGTTTGATCACCACCAGATGGTGGTGGTAATCTGTTGAGGGCAACAACTACTCAGCCGGAACTGAGTAGTCGTTGGTTAAGGGCGAGCTCCGGCAGGACTGGCTACGTGTTGCAGCGTCACGCCGGGCTCCGTTATGAGCACTAGGAGTGTCCACGGTGCCGACGCCGACCAGCTCGGCAACTGGCTTCCCTCAAGGTGGCAGACCCCTAGTTTAATCTATACATATAATAAAATTGTAACTAAGCCGAATCTGTAAATTAAATATTTTTTGGAAAAACTTATTGAAATAGACATTATTATCGATACAGAGGTCGAATTTATAGCTTTTAGAATTTTTGTCTGTCTGTCTGTAAGTAGGGACGAACCCGAGCGGAGCGAGGGTGAGTCGCTATTATTGTACGTATACTATAAATAAATTAACATAAAGCGAAACCTCATCTAAATACGAAATTTGATCCAAATCGTTATATAAATAAAATTGTATATAAACAACAATGGTTCAATTAATATTATAAGATAAAACATTTTATATTGATATCTATTCTTTATTACAACTATACAAATATTTCTCATATAACATAAGTTACGAGTAATTGACGCGGCCAGCACTTA